TCCCTCAGCCGTGGTGTACGGGTGGTCAAGAGCATCCAGACAGCGTGGGTCCCTAGGCAGGAGCCAGGGGTGGGGGAGACCCCGGGAGGGCCCGCCAGCTCCTCCAGCCCCTGCCCACTGGCACTCACCCAGGGCAGCTGGGGCAAGGCGTAGGTGCTGCCCCGCACCACGCGCCGGTCGTACATGAGGTTGGCATAGCGCCGCGGCTCCTCGGGCCTGCAACACAGTGGACACACACCGCGCAGTCAGCAGTCAGCCCTCGGGCCCCATCCCAGCCCATTACACTGCAGCCCCGGGACCCAGCGGGCCGCAGCCCCCGCGCAAGCCGGGCACTCACTGCTCGGCGGGCCCGCGGTAGGCGCGGCGCGCGGGCAGGGCGCGGGGCTGGCTGAAGTAGCTGTAGGTGCGGGCGGGCTGCGCCGAGGCCATGCCGGCAGCTTTGCAACGCGGGGGCGGGAGAACAAGGCCGGGGCCGGCGTTGCCGCGGCAACGGGGCGTTCGCTCCCCGGCAACCGTTGCCAAGGTAAACCCGCGCTTCGAAGCCTCCCGTGCGCATGCGCCGCCCGCCTCGCTCCTCCGGGGGAGGGCTCGGGCACCTGCAGCGCCCCTCCCCCCCTTGCCTGCTGGAGGCTTCCTCCCCTGGAGCTCGGGCTTTTCTGTACCAGGCCTAGTGTGGAGTCAGCCAAGCCCTTGGAGTTTGCCTTTATAAAACTTGTGGGTGTGTGTTTGTTTCTTGTGACTAAAGAACAGATGCCATTTTCACAGCACCTGATGCCAGGGCCTGGGGCTTTGGGGGGCTGGTGCCAGGATGATGCCTATGGGAAAGGGGAGCTGGGACTTCGCAAAGTGGGGTGCAGTGCATCCTCAGGTAGAATACAACATTGTTTTCTCCAGGTAGAAAGGGAGTGTTACTGATGTGCCAGGGGCCCAGGCCTGGGTTCGGTGTAAGAGGCAAGCAAAATCAATTCTGATTTCATTGGCGTGTGCATTCATTTGCTATGTAGAATCAAAGAAAAATGAGAGTTGGAAGGGACCTCAGGAGGTCATTTAGTCCAGGCCCCTGCTCAAAGCACACCATCCCCAACTAGATCATCCCAGCCAAGACTGTCTATCTGGGTCTTAAAAACCTCTAAGGACGTAGAGTTCACCATCTCTCTTGGTACCCTGTTCCAGTGTTTTACTATCCTCTTAGTGAGAGAGCTTTTTCCTAATATCCGACCTAAACCTCCCTTGCTGCAACTTGAGATCATTGCTCCTTGTTCTGTCATCTGCCACCACTGAGAAGAGTCTAGATCCATCCCCTTTCAACCCTGTCTTCAGGTAGTTGAAGACTGATATCAAGTCTCCTCTTCTCCAGACTAAATAAGACCAGTTCCCACAGTAATTCCTCATAAGTCCCCACAGCCCCCTTGAACCTCCTTCAGGTAGTTGAAGGCTGCTATTAAATCTCCCCTGAGTCTTCTCTTCTCCAGACTAAATAAGGCCAGCTCCCTCAGCCTCTCCTCACAAGTCATATCTTTTATCATGTATAAAAACAAACTAGGCAAAAGTAATCAGAAAAGCTGTTGTTTCGTTAGTCCCATCATCATTAGAATTAAATGGACATCTCTCATTCAGGTTCATAGAATGAAGTCTAGCCTTCTTGAGCAGCTTGACTGTGCATCCAGTGCTTCACTGAAAGCTGTTTCTACACCTGAGTTATACTTTGAGTTAGAGTTAAAAAAAAATCTTCAGGGCTGTGAAATAGGAGCTCCAATACAAGAGTAGTTACCAGGCTTCAGAGTTGCAGAAGAAAACATAGCTTGATTACTGGAATGTTCAAATGTTTTGGCTTGCAGGCTGGATGGGCAGTGCCCAGTTGGTTCGCAGGTTGGATCTGGCTGGTGGCCCAGATCCAGTGTCTAGGGTGGTTGCAGGGGGACCTATCTGGCCATACCAAGTGGTGGGTGGGGGCAGCCTGGCCTTAACTGGCTCCCCTGGATGGGGGGAAGGGAGCTTGATACAGCCCAAACTTGGCCTCATGGGGGGAAGGGGGATGTGGTCTGGCCCTAGTCCAGTTGCAAGAGCGGGGTAAGGGCATGGTTTGGATCTGATCCAGCTGCAGGGGGGGGAGGGAGAGGATGTGGCCCTGACCCAATTCAGTTAGTTTCATGGTTTCACAGTTGGTAGGGTCGGAAGGGACCTGAGCAGGTCATCAAGTCCG